CGAACGATGCGATGCGACTGTCCCTGCATCTGCATGTAATGTAGGTCGGCCGGTTTGGCCTAACCAATTAAACAACAGGCATCAGCAGCATGAGAAAAAGAAAACCAACACGAACGATGCCACAGGGAGTCCGTGCAGTCTACAACATGGATTAGCCCCTGATTGAGTAGTTTGGTGCAACCCTTTGGCTGAATGTGAGAAAAATGGTGGTAGCTTTTGCTAGGGACGGACAGCTTTCCCTGGAGAGGGCAACGGTAATGCTGTGTTGCGGGCGTCCATTCGTCCGAACGCTCCTTAGTGGGCTACGACGCTAACCCAACTATCCCCTCTCATCCGCTCGGGAATTTCTCAAAGAAAGAATACTCTTGTCCAGTCCTATCCTCTCGTCCACTCTTTACTATCTGCTCCCAAGGCATGCCCACCACCGCCTCAAGCCAAGAGGCACGAACACGCCAAGACAAGTGTTGCATCGGTCGTGGCCAGCATCTCTGAGATGTCGCTCCCGAAGTAGCTTCTCCACCTCCTCCTGCCACTGGGGTACATCTGCTGTATCCTCCTCTGGGTGTTCGACACAGTGGGCCTTGGTGACCTACTGGATCTCGGGGACGATCATCGGGCGCTGCCACAGGACGGCGCAGCGCGTGGCTGTCCTCTCCCAGTCATGCGGCCGCTGCCTCCCCGCCGCGTCGCGAGTCACCACCGACGGCCTGCCTCCTACAAAAGCGTCGTCGGGCCGCTGCCTCCGTCACGTCGACGAGCCTCCGTTCTCCTAAGCAGCAAGGAGATATTGCTCTAAAATCGTATGTTGCAAGCGTCTGTTTCAAGTGTTTTAAATATTTCATAAGTATGTTGTAAGTGTTTTATATCGATATTGTAAAAGTAGATTGGGATGTTGCACATGTTATAATGGAGTTTCAAGTGTATGTTTCAAAAGTTTCATATGTTTTCAGACGTATGTTGCAAGTGTTTTATCTAGATGTTGCAAAAGTATATCTGAATGTTGTATATACATGCATGTTGCAAGCGTACGCTTTAAGTGTTTCAGGTGTTTTATACGTACGTTGCATGTGTTTTGTTTGGATGTTGCATATGTTTTGCAATGGCTACACATATGTTTTCTTGGTGTTTTAAACATATGTTGCAAGTGTTTCAACTGTTTTCGAACTATGTTACAAGTGTTTTCTCTAGATGATGCAAAAGTAGATCTGGTGTTGCACATGTTGCAGTGGAACCCACCTACTGCAGCCGCCTGATACAGCTGTTGGGCCCGCGTGCATGCCCGTGGGAGCCGAGAGGGCACGAGCGGCAAACGAGGGAAACGGAGCGGAGCGCAGATGGAGACGCGGCCCCTGCGTTGACGTGAGAAACGGAGCGGCGCGGGCCCCCATATGAAGCGCGCTAACGCCACACGCTAGTGCCTCGGAACGGACGTCCGAGCACTAGCAATTTTGAGAATGCAAAGGTTGGGTTCCTCCGAGTCCAATTTTCTGTTCTGTTTGGCCACACGCGTGCCCAACCTAATTCCATTTTGGGGTTAATTACAAGACCATGCCCACACACGCTGGATGGACCAAGGCCGATGCGTGTCTAATTTTGCAACCTTATATTTTGGGCCTAATTACGACGAACACCTACGGTGTTATGACCCACGCACCCCACTGCGCTTGGCCTGGAGTCCAATCGATCGATCAGCCCACAAAATCCTGAGCCCTACCTTCACATTCCTGTGATGCACATTTCCAGGCCAGCCGCTTGCTGCTTTCTTTCACTTTTACGCTCCCAGATTTTGACTACGGATTTCCTCGCCGCCACAGTTGGGCAATTCGCCACACGCACAAATCTAGTCACTTTTCTTTCTACAACATTCCATCCCCCTTTTTGTCTCTGCGGTCCCCCGACCGCTATGGCCGGCTTGGAGCTGTTGCTTGTTGGAGATGGAGAAGGCCAGACAACAGCCGAGAAAATCCGATCGATCACATGTTCACCACCAGTTATGCATTATGGTAGAGGAAGAGGATGCAATGCAATGCAACATCCAACAACAACGCTCATCCCTGTCACCGTCAGATATATTCAGATGAGGATGAAACCGAGCCACACCACTGAACGACTCCGAGCAAGGGAAATCAAATTGGGGACTTGAGACTTTGGCACGTCCAACAACCACGCTCGACTATCAGCATCACTCCCCAAAATGCCTCATTCACAGCTTTTTTTTTTCTGTTTGCATGGAGGCCCAACATGTAGTGTCTTTCCAATCAGTATACTAGCGTGCGTAGCGTCTTTCCAACCTGCCCTGGCAGTAGAGAACAAGAGACAACAGGGTACGGCTTGTGCTGTGAGTAAAAGGACTGCTCATCACCATCGCTGGGCCCTGGGACAAGAAAAGATAGCGAGATGATTTCCGTGCAGACCACAAAAAGGTTTGGACGAAGAGCCTTTTGTTCGAGGAGAGAGAGAGAGAGACGAGACCCATGCATGCATGCCCCGGCCCGGCCCCCATCATGGCAGTTGGCAATGCCAAGCTTCCAATGGCATGCAAGAGCTAGAGGCAGGCAAAGCAAGCTCATGTCCTTGGCCTACTTGCCCCTTCTCTCTAGTTGTAGCAGGGCTGATTGCTTTGCCTCCCTCAACAGCTCTCCAGCTCTATGACCATACTACCAAGCATGTGTTATCTGAGGACAGTCCTGCAAACGGCCTGTAGGCTTTGATGATGAAGCCTTCAGTTCAATGTGATGATGTTTGCCAACAAAGATTAATTGGCTCATGACTCACTTTGGAAATGTCACTCCGAACTTAGGAAGCAAGCTAATTAAACTGGCTAAGGCCATCTCCAACAACAACACCCAAAATACAAGACTCATTCGTCCTTTGGGTAGCATTACAGGCAAAAGGTTCAATACCTATTCGTCATCTTCTCCAACAACAAGACCCAAAAGAGAATCATTTCTGCAAATGGGTTTCCAGGAGAGAGGATGCCCATATTTGGGTTATGCCTATCAGACAACCCAAAATAGGTCTCCCGTATAGGTACTCTGTTGGAGGCTGATTTTGGGTCTCTTGCTACCCATTTTGGGTTTGGGTGCCCATATAAGTTCCTTGTTGAAGACAGTCTAACAAGGCAAGTGGCCAGGCACTACTGATGTGAGTAGTGAGCTCTCCCGGTGTGGAAGCCACCGGTCCTGAGTTCGAGCCCTGCTCGGCCCAGTGATTTCCCACCGTGGGATTTTTCCCAATAAAATCTTGCAGGTCCTGGACACTCGCGTGGCGCTACAATGAGACTATGACGTGCTCGTCGTCTACGAGGCTCGTGTGGCTACGGTGATTTCCAGAAGGACGTTTGAGGTGTATAGGTTGTAGCTTTTGGGGGTGTGCGTGTGTGTGGTGGTGTGAGTGTGTTGTGTAGAGTACAGATACTACAACTTGTACACTAGGAGTCAATGCTCAAAAAAAAGTGACCAACAACAATTCCCTCTTACTCCTAATAGCTTGTCCCCACTTCTTATTTAAGTGATATCAGTAAACTTTATTTATTATTAAACAAGACACACAGCCAGCGGACTAGTGAAGTGAGATTATGGCATGAATGAATGAATGAATGAAAGATGATGGGGATGGTGAACTAACAAAACACCCTCTCGTACGAATTCTGGATGGATGCAATGTAATGTAATGTGACCTCGTCATCATGCCAATGCCTTATTTGGTCAACATGTCCAGGGAGCAAGAATTGACAACAAGCAGATGACCTCATGGAGGCAAAGGTGAAAAGGATGTTAAAAGTAGGCAAATGCATATATATCCACACCAAAAAGGGCTCAACTTCTAATAGTACATGAGTAGATCATCCAGAACTAGTATTAAAAATGGACTACAAATAGCCTTGTCTGTAACTGCCTAACTTGCCATATTTTCTTCTGGAGAAAGAAAACAGTAACAATCTCCTAACAGTGCTTGTACTTTCTCAGCAAGACTTTACACTAACTTGCATAAAGAGCACCACTTATTGTACTGTATTGTTAAGAGCTCCTCTTTGTAATGATGATGGAGAAATAGGACTAGTTTGACAGGTTGATGAAGATGCACGACCGAAATCTAAGCAGAATCTATCAAGAAACTAATTAACCTTACATCAGCAACTGTCACTGTGAAGGAGATCAGGGATCAACTAGCAATTAGTGATCAGAATGCATGTTTCCATTTCGTTTTCTCAGCATTGTGAATTGACCCAATTTGAATTGATGAGCTGCTAGCTAGCTAAGAAAGATGCAATGTCACCTCATCATCATGCTAATGCCTCCTTTGGTCAACATGGTCCAGGGAGCAAGAATTGACAACCTGATGATCTCATGGAAGTAAAGGTGAAAAGGATGTTAAAAGTAGGCAAACTGCATATATATCCACACCAAAAAGGGCTCAACTTCTAATGCGTACATGAGTAGATCATCCAGAACTAGCATTAAAAATGGACTACAGCTACATTGGTTACTTTATCAACCCCCCCCCCCCAACCCCAAAGAAAAATATACTACTGCCTTGGTCTGTAGTTGCCTAACTTCTCAAAATTTTCTGGAGATAACAGTAAAACACTCTCCTAACAGTAGCAAGAATTTACACTAACCTGCATAAAGAGCACCATATATTGTACTCTATGGTTAAGAGCTCCTCTATGTAATGATGATGGAGAAATAGGACTAGTTTGACAGGACTTCTAAGCAGAACCTACCAAGAAACTAATTAATAAGCTCACATCAGTAACTGTCACAGTGAAAGAGATCAGGCATCTAGCAATTAGTAATTAGTGATCAGAGTGCATGTTTTCATTTCCTTTTCTCAGAATTGAGAATTGACCCAATTTGCATTGATGAGCTGCTAGCTAGCTAAGAAAGATGCAAAAGAACAATTAGGCCGAAGAAGAACCTCTAGAAGTAAGTAAGCTCTAGTAGCAGTAAAATAAAATGCCTTTAGCTCTGTAACAATAAGGCTAGTAATCTCAGCTTTTAACGGCACGGGGCCTGATGAATCGGGCGCCAGGCGGAGGCGGTGAGCAGGCAGAGATCCTTCCACCCGAGCTTGAGCGCGCCGTTCTCCTCCACCAGCGTGTACCCGTCGGAGGGGAACATTCCCAGCAGCAGCGACGCCTGCGCGGCGGCGCCGCCGGCGAGCGACGCCGCGCGGAACCCGGACTGCGCCAGCTTCTCCCGCCAGCTGCCGACGAACTTGACGTCGCCCGTGCGCGCGGGGCCGCCGACGGCCAGCACGTTGCGGATCTCCCGCGACAGCAGCTGCTGCTCCACGACGTGCCGCTCGGGGCTGTCCTCGCCGTAGCTCGCGTCCAGCGAGTCGAACAGCGCCGAGTAGTAGTGGATGGCCTCCACGAACCGCGCCAGGAAGGAACCCGACTGGCTCAGGTCCTGCTCCACAATTGTCACCACCTTCGGGGCCAGCCTGGTGATTCATTGGTGAATGTGAATCAGTCAGTCAGTCAGTCAGTAAGCGCATTTGGTGTCCATTCGATGCTGCTGCTGCCTGCTTGTGCTGGCAGCGGCATGACGAGACGGCTGAAGCAGCTAGCCAGCAGCAGCAGTTAGCATTTTAATGATGCATCAAATCAACACTGAATTGCAGTTTATCTCATGTTCAAAGTACGCATTGGGCAGATATGGTGTACTACTAGCAGTCAATCAACAAAACTAGCGAGAGATTAGATAAAGCATAACACGCATTTGATGTGCTTTCGAGTTTAGCAGCTTAGCTTCCTGATCTGATCTATAGTGTGATGAGGAGACGATGATTAGTGTATACGTACTAGGAGAAGATGACAGGTATTCTATTCAGTAATCATGATTCTGGCACTATGGACTAGAAAGTTGAGACCTTTTGGCTTGGAAAGTTGGCCATGATGGTAAGAACTTTCAGCTCGTTCCTAGTGATCCACTAACCAAATGCAAGCACGGTCGATCTTTTGTGGTTCTCCGTTCTCGGATCACCACAAAAGCATTGTACGTATACAAGATCCAACCTTTTTAGCCTGCATAGAAAGTTGGTCATAATGACGAGCTTTTTTAGCTCCAAAACACAATTTTTTTACTAGTTAGCCAACTGACGGATCGTGCTTGTACCGGATGTACGGCGACTGATGCCTGCCTGACGTGCATATCGCAATGCCACATTGGTTAATTAACTATGCTGAAAAGTAGCCATGATGAAAGCATCAAGATTTGACATGGCAGCAAGCAAGCAAGAATGCACGATGGATTGGAATTTGGAAATGGAGGAGTCATCTGCTGGAGTACTCCTACTACCTTTGGATAAGCCAGAGCGTGTTGGAGTCGGAGCCGGTGACGTCGTAGAGCGAGTGGTGCAGCCAATGGACGGCGACGGCCTCCCGCCGCGTGACGCCGAGCTTGTCCGGGTCAACATTGCCGGCTTTCTCGGCGACGGCGCAGAACTCGAAGGGCAGGCCGAGCGTGTCGGCGAAGTCGGAGAGGCTCTTCCCCGTGGCCTGGAGCGCGTCCATGGACGCCCCCAGGCCGGTGAGCCTGACCCTAGGCGGGCCGCCGGGGCGGGAGGCGAGGATGTGGAAGAGTCCCGGCCACTGGAGCCCCTGCATGATGTCGAGGTCGATGATGTGCACGCGGTCCTCCCGCTCGAACGCCTCCTGGATGGCCTGGTTGGCGGTGAAGTGCGAGAACTTGACGAAGGGGCTGATGCCGTTGAACACCTGGAAGGCCGCGGCGACGCGGCCGCCGTGCAGGCGCGCTGCGACGGGGTTCCCCGGTGGCAGCGGCGCGTAGATGCCCAGGCAGGAGCTCACGAGGCGCGCCGACATGGCCTCGGCGAAGTAGGCGGCCACGCGCTGCGTGGAGGTGCCGAACGGCGTGGCTAGCTCTGCAATCTCCAGCAGCCACCGGTGCGCGTCGTCGAGGTTGTCCGCGTTCACGGCCTCCGCGCACTGCAGCAGCAGGGTGAGCAGGTGGAGCCCTTCCTCGTCGCGCTGCCTCCGCCGCCGCTCCTCCTTCCGCTCCTTGGCGGCCGCCGCCGCCGCCGCCGCGGTCTCCTCGGCCGTAGGGGTCTTGGGCGACTGCGACGGCGCAGGCGGGTTGTTGGGCTCCTGCTCCTGCTGCGGCGGCGGACACTGCTTGTCTGCGGAATGAAGCGGCTGCGGCGGTGGAGCGGGAGGAAGCGCGGCGACGTGCGGGGCGGCGTGCAGGAGAGGTGGATGCAGCGGTGCGGGGTCGGCTGGGGCGAGGAGGGAGCGGAGGCGGAGTTCGAGGAGGGCGGCGAGGCCGGGGTTGCAGGGGTGGATGATCTCGCGGACGTTGTGGATGAGCTGCGCCACGGACACATGCATTCTGATCACCAGCAGCATGAGAAAAATAAAAACCAACACGAACGATGCCACGGGGAGTCCGTGCAGTCTACAGCATGGATTAGCCCCGGGTTAGTTGAGTAGTTTGGTGCAACCCTTTGGCTGAATGTGAGAAAAATGCTGGTTGCTTTTGTCAGGAACGGACAGCTTCCCTGAAGAAGGCAAGGTTAGGTTCTCCAGGTCCAAGCAATTTTCTGTTCTGTTCTCTTCGGCCTATGCGGGCACAACTCTGCCACAACCTATTTTGGGGCTCAATTACAATCCCATGCCTGCACAAGATGGATGGGCCAAGGCCGATGCGTGTCTAATTTTCCAACTCGTTTTGGGCTTAATTATGACGAGCACATGCGGTGTTTCTTGTTGGGCCCTCAGTTAACATGGCCCACGTACCCGGCTGCGCTTGGCCGGAACTGGAGCCTCCTCAGAATTATCGAAAACCACTTGTCAACAATCTCTCATACGATCATTCCCAAGATCCACAATTGTCGAAAATTTGTAAACTTGTAAGAACATGTATTTAGCCCATAGACTAATTAAACTCAGCTTCACAAAAAAAAAGAGGGAAAGATGAAGATATAATGTTATTTTTGCAAACACTTTTCTAATATATGGAATGGAAGCAAGCAGCTAAGACATCAGTGATGGGTAATCGAAGACCAGCAAGTTTCAACACAAGAACAAGGAAAATAAATGGTACTGGACGGTCCACAAAGACGGAGGGAAGAGCAACGAACTGTTAGGAACATGAATGAGTGTACCTCTCTGTGTGATCGTAGATCTGGTAAGCCTCTCCTTGTCTTCTCGGTAGACGCACCGCAACGGGTAGATGCCGGTGCCGCAGTGTAGAAGACGTCCAGCGAGGTGGCGGTGAAGTCCAGTGGCGCTGGTGGAGAGACGGCGGTCCGGTGGTGACCCTGCAGTGGGGCGATGGCGGTGGTGGGACACATCCCGTCGCTGGCAGCACGATCTTTAGATCGGTTTAGGGTTTCTGTGAGTAGGATGGCGGCTCCGTTCAACCTCATGACCCGAGCCCAGTTCCCCACTTCTCTATATATATGTGCTATGCGACAGGGCCCACCAACCAGTTAGGGTTAGGTTCCCCCGATCAGGGAGCAGAGGCAAGGGCTTGGGCCTATTGGTGGAGATCAACTAACATTCTCCTCCTTGATCTCATTCCATCTTTCAATTTCATATCATTTACTTTTGTTCATTCCATTACAGATTAGCGCATAGAGCATGTCTCATCGTCCCGATCCATTGTCGATAGATTTAACAGCTACAACACACTACTCTGTTCTGAAATAGATACTAATCTTTGGGCCTTCTTTTGTCCAGGAATTTTAGGCTTCCTTTAAACCCATGCTAGCTACATGTTCTCTGAACATGTTGGGTGGTAAGCCTTTTGTAAGCGGATCCGCAAGCATTCTTTCTGTACTTATATGCTCAAGACTTATGACTTGATCCCGGACTTTATCTTTCACAACATAATACTCTATGTCAATGTGTTTGGCAGCACCACCTGACTTATGTTTTGAGCATACTATACTGCCAGATTATAATTGCAGTATAACTTAAGTGGTCTATAGATGTCGTCAACCACCTTCAAACTGGGTATGAACTTCTTTAGTCAGTTCACCTGCCCGTTGCCTCATAACACGCTACAAACCATCATACATTGTGGACGATGTAGTGACAGTTTGGTTTGAGCTTTTCCATGAAATAGCTCCCCTTTGCGAGATGATAGAAAATCCACGTCTGGATATGTATTCACTCTCGCATAATCAGAATCTGAATATCCTACCATGTGGAATGAATCAGATCTTCTATATGTCATCATGAGGCCTTTCGTTCCTTGCAAATAATGTAAGACTTTCTTTACTAATTTAGTGTTCTACTCCAAAATTGCTCTGGAATCTGTCAAGTAAAACCCGGTAACAAATGCCAAGTCAGGGCGCGTACATACTTGAGCATGTTGCAAGCTTTCGACAGCTGAAGCATATGGAACCACTTTCACTTTATCAATTGAGCTCATATTGGTTCATGGGGCATTGAAAATCCCCATATCTGTCGCCCTTGACTATAGGAGCAGGTGAGGGACTACATTTATGCATACTGATTTTCTTTAAAATCTTTTTCATGTATGCCTTTTGTGACAGTCCTTATACCCTTTTTCTTCTATCTCGGTGAATCTCGATCTCTAGAACGAACGAGGCTTCGCCAAGATCTTTCATATCAAATTTCTTTGTCTCCAGTAGTAGATTGACATCACTACTAGCAAGTAAGATATTATCTACATATAGGACAAGGAAGATAAACTTCCCATTCTTAAACTTTGTATTGACACAATTGTCCTCTACCTTCTCTTTAAAACCAAAAATTCTTTATTGTCTGATCAAACTTCAAGTACCACTGTCTTGAAGCTTGTTTTAATCCATAAATGGATTTCTTTAGACGGCATCCCATTCGTTCTTTTCCTTCCATGACAAAACCTTTTGGTTGTGCCATGTAAACATTTTCCTCCAAGTCTCCGTTGAGAAATGTCGTTTTTACATCCATCTGATGTAATTCTCAATCGTAATATGCCACTAATGCCATTATGATTCTGAAGGAAACTTTACATGAGACTGGAGAAAAGGTCTCATTATAATCAATCCCTTCTCTTTGCATAAAGCCTTTTGCCACAAGTCACGCTTTATATGTCTCTATATTCCTTTGAGAGTCAAGTTTTGTTCTGTAGACCCATTTACAGCCTACTGTTTTAGCCCCTTTAGGAATTATTTCCAGGTCCCAAACTATATTGGCATTCATTGATTTCATTTCATCTTCTATGGCCTCAAGCCGCTTTGATGAATGATTACTTTTCATGGCTTATTCAAATGAGGTGGGATCATCCTCCATTTGAAATTTCTTAGTGTTGTACACTTCATAATCAGCAGGAATATCTAATTTACTAACTCTTTCAGACCTTCTAGGGGCCTCCACATTTGGCACATCTTCTATAGGATCCTGAAGAACAGGTTTCTCATTTTCATTCATTGTTGCTACAGGTGGAATAACAACAGGTGCTGACACCATAGTATCTTGCACTGTCGGTGCAGCGACAGCATGTAGTGAGAAAATTAGCTCATGAATCATTGGAGTAGGCGCATACACCCGCTTCACTTCAAGGTCAATTTCTCGAGCTACCATGCTCCCCCTCATCTTTTCATCCTCTAGGGAAACAGCGTGTCTCGTTTTCACAAACTTTGTCAGTCCCTCTGGACAGTAGAAACGAAAACCTTTTGACTTTTCTGGGTAGCCAAAGAAATGGCACCTTACTGTTTTGGGATCTAACTTTCTAATATTTGGGTTAAATACTTTAGCCTCAGCAGGGCTCCCCCCACACATGCAAGTTGTTTAGTGAGGGTACTCTTTCTGTCCACAACTCATACGGTGTTTTGGGCACCGACTTTCTTGATACTCTATTGAGAATATGAATGGCGGTTTTTAACGTCTCCATCCACAGGCTCAACTGTAAGGTGGAGTAACTTATTATACTGCCCACCATATTCATCAGGGTGCGATTGATTCTTTTAGCTACTCTATTCTGCTGAGGTTACTTTGGTGTAGAATCTTTGGGCTACTATGCCATTCTTTTAGGGTATGCCGAATTTAGTACTCTCCCCACGGTCGGACGACTATCTTAATCTTTAATATCTTAAATTTATCCAATACATCTTTTTTTTTCTTTGATTGGATAAATATAGCCATAATGGGGAGTAATCATCATGAATGTTATGAGCGAATCATAACCATCCACACTATTTACGGAAAAAGTCGATCACGAGATATCCATGTGAATAATCTGTAAAATTCCTGCGCTTCTTTTGTCATCTTTCTTAATCTTCTTTACATACTTTCCTTTTATGCATTTTCTGCATTGTTCTAAATCTGAGAGCTCTAATGGAGGAAGAATATCATTCTTAACTAGTCTTTCTATTCTCCCCCTCGAAATATGGCCTGAACGATAGTGCCATAATTTCGACAACGCATCGTGAGCTCTCTTGTGCCACCACTTCCAGATTAACAATCTGTCACCAGCTGCTTCATCAACTGAGTGGTATATATCTTTGAAGAACCAGTGAACTGACTCTTTATATGTCTTTGAAGAGCCAGTGAACTGACTCTTTATTCTATCGAGGTACTCGGTTACCGTGTCATATTCTAGGATTGAGCCCATAATTGCAGATTCAATCATGTTCTTTATCACAGCCAAACATTTTTTGTTGGCAGTGACCCACTTTCTATGCACAAAAATCATAGGACTATCTTTTGGGATTCAAAATCCCTCTCTTTAGTTGCCTAAGTGGCATCATTCTCTTTTGTCTCCCTCACCGGTGTCACAAACTCACTAGAACACGGTGAGTTGACTACCCAGTCCACCTTAGACAAGATGAAAACCAGGTTAAAACTTTTCTTAACATAAAATAACACCATTTGCATGCCTTGATTCCAACGTTGGTCAAAATCAAAACATACAATTATTCTTATACACTAATTCTACATCACCGTTGGGCAGAAATAGAATTAATGCATAAATCTTTAACTTTTACAACTGTTCTTACACACTAATTCTACATCACCGTTGGACAGAAGTAGGATTAATGCATAAATCATTAAAATTCTCAACTTTTCTTATACACTAATTCTACATCACCGTTGGGCAGAAATAGAATTAATGCATAAATCAGTAAAATTACGATATCGTTATTAACAACGTTGGTCAGAAAATAACAACATCATAATCATGTCAAATTTCTTTTTCTCCAATTAAATGCCATATTGGTTCAAAATAACTAGAGAATCAACATTTTCTTTAGCAGCGGAAAAACTTTCTTTCTTCTCCAATTAAATATCACGTTGGTACAAATTAACTGGAGAATAAACAATTTCTTTATCTGTGGAAAACTTTCTTTTTCTTGAATTTTACCCACAGAGAAAAA